CAAAAAAATTACAAATTTTAAAATAGCTAATTTTCGAAATTTTCGAAATTTTTTTTACTTAAAACTGCCATAACTTTTTCAAAAATGAACAAATTAATAAAATTTTTTTTTTTTATAGATGCTTGATGTCTTTACCTATCATTTGGTATATTTTTTTTTATAAATTTGTCCTTTTTATATATATCTTAAATTAAAACTAATGTAATATACTTTAATTTGAAAAAAAAAAATTGACCTTTAGACTTGTCTTCGTGGTGAAAATGGCTACCGAATTCTATTTTTGTGTGAAAATTCTCGATTTTATTTTTTACATTTTTAACTTTATAATTTATAACTTATTGAAAAGTGAATGGATTAACACAATTTTTTTATGAGAAATAATATTTTTTAATAATCCCTTTTTCATTCGACATACTTTATCTTAATTAGGATATTAATAAGAAACTAGCAGATAATGTAGCTTTTGTAATTATCCACCAATTTCTTAGAATTAAACNTAGAATAATACACCAATTTTTTAAAATTAAACACTATCTAAAGATTTGCATCGAAGGGGTTTTTTTCATAGTGATTTTAGTTACTGTTAGANAACGTTTTTTTTTTTGATAGAGATTTTAATCACTGTCAGATATCATTATACTTGATCCAACTATGCCACGTCATCACTGTGCCGCGACCACCATGTGCTAGGTTTTTTAATTAAGTCAATGTTATTTTTAACTGCAAAGCTATCGAATTTTCAAATAGATGATAACAGACTTACTATGAGTTAAGCCAAATTGTAAGTTCGAGACATTAATATTTGTTAATTTCAAACCCTCAAATTCCTAAATTATATGCTTTGACAAAAATATATAAGCCAAGAAGTAATATGAGATCTAATGTGTGGAATATATATATATATATATACAGAGTAATTTTTTTATCATAACCCACTCAATTACTTACAGTGTAATAATAATTTAAACATTTATTTTTTTGGTTATCTTTAGTTACACATTATTATTGAATTATTAACTATGTAATACTTTTTAAGTTCATCCCTTATGCCTGGTAAGGGTGTCAACTTTGTTTTTTTAAATGGGAACACATTTTGAATTTAATAAAATGTTTGAATTTTTAATTTAATAGTAAATGGCGTTTGAATTTTTAGTATAACTTAATTTGTTTATTAGATATAAACACTTAAAGTTTCAAATTTTTGAGTTAATATACACGTATAATACACAAGGGTTTACAAATACAGGTAGCTAATTGGTTTTTTATGACATCGATATTAGCAGGTACACAGCATTGTTATAATCAATGGTAGTAAGGCACATTGTTGTGAGTTTATATATACACTAACTGACAATACAGAAAGTATATCTATTGACAGGGCCGGATTTGACGGAGGGTTTTAAGGGCACTTGCCCCGGGCAGCAGATGTTTGGGGGCATCCGGATGCCGAATACTATAAAAAATTTTTTTAAACTTTTTAACACTCGGCTTATGAAAAAATCAACTTTAAAAAATAAATATTGTTTTGTATTTATATAATTTGGGCTGCAAAATTAATACCGATATACGTCACATGATAACAGAACTACATTGGGGTATACAGCAAACACGGTATAATACTTTAGTAAATTGGTAAAAACGTTCGATGCAAATCTTTAGATAGTTTTTAATTTTAAAAAATTGGTGTATTATTCCAAAAGGGATTATTAAAAAATATTATTTCTCATAAAAAAATTGTGTTCATCAATACACTTTTCATTAAGTTATAGCATTATAAAGTTAAAAATTAAAAAAATTAAATCGAGAATTTTCACACGAAAATAGCATTCGGTAGCCAATTTCCGTCGCGAAGACAAAATAAAGTCCGAAATTTTTTTTTTTGCATAATAAAGTACATTACATTATCTTTAATTTAAGATATATATAAAAGTGTCAGACTTTCCGGAACACTTTCAAAAGTTAAGTGTAAAAGTAATTTTTTTGTGAAAAAGTTGTCATTTTAAATCCCCCCAAATGATAAGTAAAGATATCAAGCGTCTATAAAAAAAAAAAAATACTGATCCTTACATTTTCCAAAAAGTTATAGCATTATTAAGTTAAAATTATAAAAAAGAATTATTTTACAAAAGTCGTAATTTTTTATTAACTTTGATGTCTATTTTCACCACGAAGACAAGTTCAGAGGTCAAATTTTTTTTTCAAATTAAACTATATTACATTAACTTTAATTTAAGATATATTTAAAAGTGGCAGACCTTTCGGAACATTTTCAAAAGTTAAATTGAAAAAGTAAATTTTTTGTGAAAAAGTTGTCATTTTAAATCCTCCCCTTTGGGCAGGTAAAGGGTCAGATTTATAAAAAAATATATGCCAAATATATATATAGGTGAAAACATCAAGCATCTATAAAAAAATTATATTGATATGTTCATTTTTGAAAAATTGACGGCATTTTTTTGGAGGTTTCCCCCATTTACGGGGAACGAGGGAAATTTTTTCAATTTTTAAGGGTAATGTCTTCGACTAGATACAATTTGTGATTTTTTGACGTATCGTTGAAAGAAATCCGTTTGGTGAGAGCTGAGAAAATATGGTACCAGACAAAAAAAAAAAAACACATCATAGTAAAACCAATACCTTCTCAGCTTCGCATCGAAGCTAAAAATATTATAAACTCAGCTGAATAGATGAAGTTGTTGATAATGATGAGTGGACTATGTAAGATTTTGTGATAATGGTGTCGAACATATGAGTATGACGAGTCAGAGTGTAGATCCAGATACGTAATGGCAGATGAAAACAGACTACGGCAATGAAGATGTTTAGTGATGGTCAGAGGTAAATGTTTTATCATTTGATGAAATTATAGAAGACTGCAGGAAAAAAATCAAGAAAAGTACCAAATTTATAAAAATATATTTTTATTTAACATTTTTGATTAAAATAATTTTGATTGTACTATTTACTACCTAGTGCCAATAAAAATTTTAAAGTATTAAATTTAATTAAACTTTTATTATAATGTATAATTATGTAGCTGCTATGGAGGTTGAATTAAAAAATGTTAATAAATTAAATTGTAAGATTATTATATTTATTTTTACTCTTCATATTATGAAGGTTTTATAAATTTATTGCAATATTGCTATCTTTAAATGAATTTTGAAATTTGTGTTACAAAACAGCAGTGTTTCAAACTTGAAATAAACACGTTTTAGGTAGATAGTTATAAAGTGCAAGTTTGGAAATTTTAAAATTTTTATCTTTAACTACTTCGATAATGAGTATTTTTTTATTATTTTACTGTTAGGGACCTCAAAAAAAAATTTGCCCTGGGCATCCAAAAGTCTAAATCCGGACCTGTCTATTGATAGTCATAATTGACGATAAACAATCCGTGACTGTGACAGCAATGTTATAAAAATCTAATTAGCTATCTGTATTTATAATCCCTTGTGTATTACACACATATATTAACTCAAAAATTTAAAACTTTAAATGTTTATATCTCATAAACGAATAAATTATATTAAAAATTCAAATTCCATTTACTATTGAATTAAAAACTCAAATATTATATTAAATTCAAAATATGTGTTCCCATTTAAAAAAAACCAAGTTGACACCCTTACCAGGCATAAGGGATGAACTTAAAAAGTATTACATAGTTAATAATTCAATAATAATGTGTAACTAAAGATAACCAAAAAAATAAATGTTTAAATTATTATTACACTGTAAGTAATTGAGTGGGTTATGATAAAAAAATCACTCTGTATAACTAAGCGCCTAGTTTTAACACCATACGTCTTCTGAGACGCGCAGTGAGGTTGACTTAAGTTGACAAATCTATAAGTTATAGAGTTAAATTAAAGATGATTCTAATAATTAATTAACAGTTAATAAACCAAGAAATATAAATAACTGAAAAAAATAATCTTTTTTCATTACTATGTTAATTTTACAAGTAATTAAGTGATTTAAGGAATACCGATAACTAGTATGATTGAATTACAAAATCACCAAAGAATTATAAAAACTACTTACAATCACCATCAGATGATATAATTTCCTTGATGCCTTCTTTAGTATTGCGACGTAATTTCAAACTATACCGTTTAAAAGAACCAGCTGTACCTCTTCTCTGAGATAAGGCAATTGATTGTTGATTAGATGATTTTGATTTTTTTTCATCAATTATCATTATTGGTCCATTATCATCCCACTAATATGAAAAAGTACAAATCATGTATAATTAACATTTAAAAGCAATACAACAAAATAACAAATTGGTATATACTTGATTAAAATGAACATTTGGATTAGAATTCTCTGTTTTAGTAGGCTGTTCATTATCATTACGTTTCAAACATGTTTTACCTTTATCTGGAGCTGCTAATAATAAAAACAAAGATATACGTTGATTTCAAAATAATTAAAATAATCTTATAATCATAAGTGCACATAAGGCAGTAATAAGGAGTTTTAAATTAGGACTTCAAATTAAATATAAGTACCCCATTTTTTTTTTTTTACTAATTTTGTACTTTTTTTAAGATAACATTAAAAATAAAAACAGCTATCAACATTTTTTTTTTGCTTCTTAATCTGCAATAATATTTTTAGCACCACTTAATTTAAAATTTATGTGTACCTATAAGTATAATGTTATTACAAATAAAAAAAGGATGTTTTCTACAAAGACTGATAAATTAGTAATGAATATAATACTAAATAATATACTAGATACTAAAAGATTGTCTATTTCAAATTATTTAAGTATCTAAACTAAGGCTCTTATAATAAACTATAAGACTATATCTCTACATAAATTAATATAAAAATCATTATTAAGTCTAACTTTAAAAATATACTACTAACTTCGATAAACATTCTACTAGGGTTATATTTAGTAATACTAATTAAAATAAAAACAAATTTTAAGAAACAATTAAATAATTTATTTAAATTAAATTAGTTTTAAATCAATAAAGAAAAATAATCCTTGCAAAATAAATTCAATGTTTCACTACAGATTCACTAATTATACAGAATTTATATAAAGAGTGCTTTATATTATTTTTTATAATACTTAACACATAACATAGTTTTATTATTATAAATGAGTTAAATATTTTAACTAATTAAAATTTAACCAAGTTAAAATTTAAATTTTAACTAATGACTTAGATAAAGGTGTACTCAAGGAAATATCTTATGTACACTCCTGCACTAGATGTTTTTCATGATAAAAAAAGTATTCAAAATTCTATTGTTAATAATACAATTCTTTTTAAATTAATTTTTATAATACAAACAAAATATTAAGAATGCCACTAAATGTGTAAAAAATGTTGCTTTTAGTAAATAGATTTTTGGTAATTTTTAAATATATTTCATAAATTGTGTAAAAACAAGAAAATGTACAAAAAAATCAACTTTTTATTTTCTGTGGGAATATTTGTAAATATAAATCTTAAAAATCCATTCGATAAAAAAATTAATCAAATTTATATTAAAAAATAGAATTAACGAGGAAAATATGCTAGTCATGAGGTTTAGACTAATGGTTTTTTCCTTCTTCAGAAAAATTTAGCTTTATTGACAATAATAAAATTTAAATTTGAAATATAAACAATTATCTGGAAATTATTTAAATATTTAAGGATTAAAGGATTTTAAATAAGAAGTACCGCCGACTTTTGTAAACCTTAATTTTTACAGAGCATGCCTATAAATGTTCTAGAAGTATTCTGAAAATTTTGTTGATATATGTCGGTTTTTTACAAAATTATTTTATAAAATAATAATGATTTTTTCCATGAACTCCAAACACATTTTATTATAAGTATACGTTTTCATGATTGTTCAGTGTATATTTAATTATATTTCTATAGAAAAAAACCAAGGTATTTTGAAACATTGTTATTTTTATTAATTTTCTTCAAGTAAGAAATTTAATTTAAAAATATTGAACAAAAACTAAGTTTATTTTAATATAGCCCAAGAAACACATTATAATGGGTTTTTATTACAAATATAAATTACTTAAATTATTTTAATTATAATTATATTAAATCAACGTATGATAGTATAGATTCTCCTGTAAGTTGAGGTCAGAATAGACTTACAGTAACTTCTTCTTATCATAAAAGACCCCGCAAGGAAGTAGTAACCATTACTACCGATCATAGGCGATTTTGCAAAAGACCTAATAGTAATGGAAGGAATTGATGACAGCAGCTTGAAGATTTTCAAATACTGATTTATCAAATACGATGTGGAAGGAGGAGTTCACAATATTTAAATTTCTAATAAAGAATTATAGATCAAACAGAAAAAAAATTAGAACTTACAGAAACAGATATACTAGAAAATATCAGTACGGGAAGAACAAAGACTTTTCAGGTCGTCATTAAGTGAAACTCTTGGAAAAACATTGGAACATGGAATATCAGAAATATGCTAAGTATAAGCAAATTAGTAAATATATAACTAAAAATGACTGGACAAAGACATACTAGGGATGAGCAAAGTTAGATAGTCAAAAAATGGTGATTTTTAGTCGGATGACTACCCCGTTATCTATTTTGGCGATGAAACGCCAGAATGTTCAGGTGTAGGATTTATTTTAAATAAGAAATGGGCCCACCATATCGTGAACAAAATAGCATATAACAATAGACTTATACTGATTAAGCATAAAGCTAAACCAAATGACAATTGTATAGTTTTTACCGCTGTATCGAACGGACGTGTTTAATTTAATGCTCTATTTTACTGGTGTTGGAATACCTTATCTCGATATACGTAGAGTATGTGTAATGTAATTCAATTACATGTGTTGTTGTCATTTTGTGCTTTAGATTATTAGTTCATCGAAATCGCTAAGTTGATTGAGGAAAATTCATATACAATATTCATCGTATAACTTATTACATTTATATTTATATCTACGTAATTCATTAATATCAATAAATTTCTAGTAACTAAGCCACTTTTAACTACCACTAAAAAAGAATATTCATTTGTCGATATAATGAATACTCTCAAAATTATACGTGATGATATTTTTTAATTTTTTTAAATGGCAACAAACATATTTAACTAGTTTATAAAATAAAAAATGATTTAATTAAGAAAATGACTGGTCGATAACAACCTTTAGACCAGTCTTTCAGAAGTTATTACCAATTGAAAGTAATGACTGAAGGTGATGATTGGGTGCTGCTATTTTTATCACTAGTCATATCCAGGAAGTTCTCTTTTTACCATCAAGGTATAAACTACCGAAGTACTAGTCTAAAATTTATTATTAACCAGTCATTTTTTTAATTAGATCATTATCTAATAAATAAACTAGGTAATCATCGATATAAAAATTACATTGACATTCTTAAAGTTTTAAGGAACGATTCTAAAAAGTAATTATTATGTAATAAATCAAGAATATACATGTAACTAAAATTAAACAAACATTTTTTTTCCCAATGTTGTATTTATTTTGAGAGTAATCGATAGGTTAAGCGATGGCCAGTTCAGGTTTAGAAGAATCATCGGTACTAGAGAAGCAATCTGATGCTTAAGAATTGGTACAAAACAAATAGAAATTAGTAAAATTTATGGCCGACCCCAAGTAGTTGGGATTAAGGCGAAGAAAAAAAAGAAGAATAAAGACATATTTATAGTATTTATAAATTTGGAAAAGGCTTTTGATAAGATACCATAGAAAGACCTATTCTATGCTTTATAAGTAATAGGAGTTATTCACAAATATCGAAGGATAATATACAATTTATACTAGGACTAATCAGCTATAATAAAAGTATAATAAAAATTGGTCACTTGTTGCTAACTAATTAAATAAAATTAAAACTATATAAAAAATATTAAACTCAGAAAGCCACAAAAAATTACAGAAAAATAGCGGATACGTATTTCGGAAACAGTGTTACCATTATCAACGCTTAAATCATACAAGAATGTGTTTAGCATTAATTATATAAAAAAAACCCAGCACAGTGGGGTCGTGGCACAGTGATGACGTGCATAGTTGGGACAAGTATAATGATATCTGATAGTGGTTAAAATCACTATCATAATAAATATAGTTAAAAAAAAATTGAAAACGCGCTTTTTATACATATCGAACTAAAAAAATTTTAAATAATTTTTAAAATAAGTTTAAAACAATAATTAACGAAAAATACTAGTATGATAGTGAAAAAAAGCGTCGGGCACTCAACATACCAAAAATATGGCACAAAGTACCTACGCTTTTACCTACGCTTCACAATAATACTAGTATTTTGTTTTTAGTATATTATTTATATAATTTAGTAATTTTGTATATATATATATATAATAAAATTATGCAGGAAAATATTGTTATCGGAGAGTGGTGAGCGAGGTGGGGTGAATGCGTCACGACAGTATAGTCTCAAGGCCATAGACGACGGGATACGCTTGAATAATAACATGTGACGCGTGGAGAGTTACAAACAAACATACATGTGAAATTAATATAAGCGAATTGAAAACGATTCGATAAAAATCTGATAGTGTTTAATTTTAAAAAATTGATGGATTATTCCAAAAACTATATGATCTCCTATTTCCTTATTTATATCCTGATTACAAGTTTTATGATTTATAAGTGTATATATATATTTATAATACAGTAGAACCTCATTAGTCCGGACTTCGCTTAATCCGGACACCTGTCTAATATTACGAAAAATACACAGTTTATGCCGTAGACTAAAATAAGCATAAAGACAAGTTCCTCGAATTTCCCATAAGTACATATATTCTTATCCACCGTCATTAAAGTTATCATAAACTATGTATTAGTAATTTATATTTTGGTCATTATTATATATATACATAATTCTATCCACATTAAATATGTAATGTTTTTGCTGGACCTAATATCATGTTGCAATATATATATTATATCATATATAGTATTTAGTATAATACAATATTCTTAAATCTATAATACGGACATGTTTTTTGGTTATTTTGTTTAATCCGGACTTTCATTAAATCGGACAACCTAGAGCCCTTATTAGTCCGGATTAATGAGGTTCTACTGTATATAAATATTTAAAGAGAAATAGTTTTAATTAAAAAAACCCAGCACAGGGAGGTCGCGGCACAGTGGTGACGTGACATAGTCGGATCAAGTATAATGATATCTGACAGTGATTAAAATCACTATAAAAAAAAAACGCTTCGATGCAAATTTTTAGATAGTGTTTAATTTTAAAAAATTGGTGTATTATTCCAAAAGCTACATGATCTGCTAGTTCTTTATTAATATCCTGATTAAGATAAAGTATGTCGAATGAAAAAGGGATTATTAAAAAATATTATTTCTCATAAAAAAATTG